GAAAAATTTTCTGATTTTGTTTTTTATGAAAGTAACTGTTTATTTATTGCATCTTTCAACATATACATACATATATATACATACATACATAAAAACTAATGGAAAAATTGATTTCTAAAGAAAATACTTGTTAAAATGACTTCATGCTTATGGCCGTCCAAAATGCTAGTTTTATTTTTAATCACTTGTCAGCTAAGCGAGTGTCCCGCTCTTGGCGTGTTTCAACCGCTCTCTCCAGCGCTTTACGTGCCTTGTCCTTTAAACGGACATCGCGCTGCTTTTCCGGAGCGTCTTTGGCCTTTTTTCGCCGCTTCGCCGTTGGACATCTCTTCCTCTTTCTTGTGTTGATTACTGTGTTGAAAGCCGACACATCAGCTTGCCTCTCCGCGCGGGCTTCACGCAAACGTTGAAGCCTTGCTGCATGCTCCTCAGGGGTCTCAATCAAACGTGCTAGTTTTATTTTTAATCGCTTGTCAGCTAAGCGAGTGTCCCGCTCTTGGCGTGTTTCAACCGCTCTTTCCTGCGCTTTACGTGCCTTGTCCTTTAAACGGACTTCACGCTGCTTTTCCGGAGCGTCTTTGGCCTTCTTTCGCCGCTTCGCCATTGGACGTCTCTTCCTCTTTCTTTCATCGTTACCCATCGTCACTAAAAGTAATAGCCTATTAATTTTTCATTGGAAGCGATAAGTTGAAAGGCCGTTCACACCAGGCGATTTTTGCTTTCAAATAAAAGTTGCCTGTAAAATCGCCTCATGCGAACACCGTATTAGCTTACAGCGCAGTTTGTTTTGCTCATAGGCGGCATACACGGTGCGTCTGACTCGCGAGTCATTTGTGTACGTGTTGACTCGCCTTCGACTACACATAGTTGAATCATTGAGAGTCATGCCAGGAATTGTGTCGGTGTAACTAACAAATTTTTATTATCACAAACACATTCAAACCGACTCGCGAGTCAGACGCACGGTGTATGCCGCCTATAAGACAGTCAGCCGAAGCATCCAGTTTAGAAATTAAATAATTTTTCACACAAGCAAAAGCACAAATACAATACCAAATACACACCTACAGCCCGCCACAAACAATTATTATTGTTTTCGCAAAACACTGAATAAGTTAGAATAGAAATTTGCTTCGTCACTGCAATACACAATCGCGTTGCTCCGCCGGTAACGCAATGTTGTAGTTTGCTTGCGATGAAAGAGAACTATAATTTCAGTCTTCTCATAAAATTAAGCACAGTGAAAAGAGAACAGCAGACTATACAAGCAAAATGTTTTGTGTTCACGTTTAGTATGTGCATACATATGTACATACATACGTATAAAACTGAATTAGTAAACGTTAAAATTTACGTTACAATGCATCCTTCCCAGCAAGAACAGTGACGGTCACTTTCCTAGTGACGTGACCGTCAAGCGTGCCCGCTTTGTTCGGCACGTTTTGCTATCACATTCTTAACACGTTCGGCTTCATTTAAATTTTGCGGGTGGCTACCAGAGAATCACTTAATTTTTCCATACAAAATTGAAGAGCGGGAATTCCCGCTTTTTTTTCTACAGGATCAATTTTTTAAATAGTGTGAACAAATTACGGGAATTCCCGCTATTACCGGAATTCCCGCATTTAATTTTTCAAGAGCATTTTTGTGTGCGCGGAAGAAATTGCGGGAATTCCCTAAAGAAAGATTTATTAACATATCTTTATTTTTACTTAAATATCTTTATTTTTTCAACGTATTATTATACACAAATATTATTTTTTGGTATGATATATTTCAAAGCATTCGGCGGCGCATAGCGCCATCTTGTCAGGACAGTTCTTGCATTGAAAGCTTGTCTCCTTCCGGACTCCGTTTTTTGAACACACCTTACATCTCTTTTGGTAACTTTTGTTTTTTCCTTGATTGTTATGTCCGAAAGGGAAGGGAATTTTCTCCGGGAAGTGATGGATACTCATGTCTATTGGACAAGTCGCACTTTGCGCCTTTGGAGGGCGTCCGCGAGATGTTACGAGATTTACCAAATCCTTGCCTTCCGTAACATTGGATTGTAGATTGAACAAGCTTACTATAAGTTCATCACGAAAATCTAGAAAGGAGCAGTTCGGATGAAACTGTTTGTATATGAAAAATGAGTTCCATACAGCCATGTCCAGAATGTGAAATAAAACCTTTTTGTACCATCTTATTGTTTTTCTGGGACTTGAATAATACGACAATAATTGGTCGGCCCGATCAATTCCTGACATGTTCTCGTTATAAGCAGCAACATCTATTGGTTTCATCTTCTTGTGGCCTCTTCTATTAGCAACTTCGATTAGACGTGGGTGGTGTGCCGTAGTTATGGACAGAACGTCACGTTTGTCTTTCCATTTTGTCACATAAACATTTCCTGTTCTTCTCCAAATATACTCGCCTCTTTTCAGTTTCTTACTGGTTATACATTTAGGGCTCGGCTTACGATTGGAACGTAAAGTGCCAGTAGAATGGGTTTTATATTTGAGTAGCGTTTCGGACAAATCAACGCTCTTATAATAATTATCCATATACAAATGATGACCACGGTTGAGGTATGGAGCCATAAGTTTTAAAACTACAGCTTTTGTTTTGGATCCTGTGATCTCTTCATCTTTTCCAGCATATATTTTTACATTTAAAATATACCCATCCTTTGTGGTAAGTTCGTAAAACTTTATACCATACCGAGCTCGCTTTCCCTTGTTGTATTGTCTAAAGGATAACCTTCCTCTGAAAAGCATAAGCGATTCATCTAAAGACAAGGCTCTATCTGGTTCATACGTCTTTTGAAAGTTTTTCAAAACCAAATGGAGCATCGGCATTATTTTTTGCAATTTTGTATCTTGATATTCTTGTTGATAAGGCATATGACAGCTGAAGCATCTTAAAATTTGCTGAAAACGTCTTCCAGACATTACAGCACCAAATATTGGTTGATAATACAATATATCTTTCGAAAACATTTTCTTAATCGACGGTTTTCGGTTTTGGCCTTGTAATAGGCACATGCCTAAAAATTGAAGCATTTCATATTTTGTTATTGCAGTAAATTGCATCTTAGGCCGCTTTCGTGTTGATGGCTTAGGGTCATTATCTTCCAAGTGAATCCCATAAGCATTGCTGGAAGAAACTAATAACTCTATGACGTCATTATCAAACACTTTTTCAAATATCATTAGCGGGGATGTTTCACTATCAATTTCATCCTGAACTCCCCAAGTATGAGCAAAGGGGAAAAGTGGTATTGGTTTTGTTGTTTCACGCCAAATATCGTCACATTCCACTTCACAAATATCGGTATCATCCTCGTAGATGGAATCTTCCTGATGTGTTGT